AATCTGAATCCAAGACTACTCTTCCCAGCAAGGCTATCATTCAAAATAGAAGATCAAATAAAGAGCTTCCCAGACAAAAAAAGGCTAAGGGAATACATTAGCACCAAACCAGCACTGTAAGAAATGTTAAAAGGACTGCTGTAATTAGCAGTAGAAATGGAATGCTCCCATAAAAAGACACAGAGTAGCTGATTGGATAAGAAAGCATGACTCATCTATATGTTGTTTACAAGAGACCCACCTCACAACAAAAGACTCACATAGGTTGAAAGTGAAGGGATGGAAAAAATTTTTCCAAGCAAATGGAAAGCAAAAAAAGCTGGGGTAGCAATACTCATATCTGATAAAATACATTTCAAAACGAAGACCATAACTAGAGACAAAGAAGGCCACTACATAATATTGAAAGGATCTATCCAACAGGAAGATATAACCTTGATAAACATATATGCACCCAATACAATCATAGCAGGGGACTTCACCCCGTTGACAGCACTGGATAGATCCTCTAGGCAAAATATTAGCAAGGAAACGAAGCACTAGACCAAACGGATTTAATAGATATCTACAGAGAATTATACCCCAAAACTACAGAATACACATTCTTCTCAAGTGCACATGGGACATTCTCAAAGACAGACCACATGATAGGACACAAATTAAATCTCTACAAGTTTAAGAAGATTGAAATCATATCAAGCATCTTCTCAGATCACAATGGCATGAAACTAAAAATCAATTGCAATAAGAACATGCAAAGACATTTCAACACATGGAGGCTAAATAGCATATTATTAAACAATGAATGGGTCACCGAGGAGATCAAGGAAGAAATTAAAAACTTCCTGGAAACCAACACAAAATCTATGGGATGCAGCGAAAGCAGATCTGAGAGGGAAGTTCACAGGCCCACCTCAAAAAACAAGAAAAATTTCTAATTGTCTAACCTCACAACTTAAAGAATTAGAAAGCAAACAAAAAGAAAACCCCAGAGCAAGTAGAAGGAAGGAAATAGCAAAGATCAGAGCAGAAATAAATGACATAGAGACCAAAAAAACAATTCAAAGGATCAATGAAACAAAGAGCTGGTTTTAGAAAACTTGAACAGACCAATAACAACGAAGGAAATTGAAGAGGTAATGAAGACTCTCCCAGCAAACAAAAGCCCAGGCCCAGATGGCTTCATGGGGGAGTTTTACCGAACATTCAAAAAAGATCTAACACCCATTCTCCTCAAACTATTTCGAAAAATTCAAGAAGAAGGAAGACTTCCAAACACGTTCTATGAGGCCAGCATAATTCTAATTCCAAAACCAGAAAAAGACACTATGAAGAAAGAAAACTACAGGCCAATATCCCTGATGAACATAGACGCCAAAATCCTGAACAAAATATTAGCAAATCGGATCCAGAAATACATCAAAAAAAAATTATTCACCATGACCAAGTGGGATTCATTCCAGGGATGCAAGGCTGGTACAATATTCGCAAATCAATAAACGTGATACACCACATAAACAAAATGAAGAATAAAAACCACATGATCATATCAATAGATGCTGAAAAAGCATTTGACAAAATCCAGCATCCATTTCTGATAAAAACGCTCAGCAATGTAGAAATAGAGGGATCCTATCTAGACATAATAAAGGCCATATATGAAAGACCTACAGCCAACATAATACTCAATGGACAGAAACTAAAAACATTTCCATTAAGAACAGGAACAAGGCAGGGATGTCCACTTTCGCCACTCTTAGTTAACATTGTACTGGAAGTCTTAGCCACAGCAATCAGACATGAAGAAAAAATCAAAGGGATCCAAATTGGAAAGGAGGAAGTGAAACTGTCATTATTTGCAGATGACATGATATTATACATAGAAAACCCTAAAGACTCCTTCAAAAATTTACTAGACTTAATAAATGAATTTGGCAAAGTAGCAGGATACAAAATTAACGTCAAGAAATCGACAGCATTCTTGTACACCAATGATGAACTCACAGAAAGAGAAACTGAAAAAACAATCCCATTTACCATCGCGCCAAAAAAATTAAGATACCTAGGAATAAACTTAACCAAAGAAGTAAAGGACCTATTTGCAGAAAACTACAGGTCATTGAAAAAAGAAATAGAGGAAGATATAGAAAAGTGGAAGCACATACCCTGTTCATGGATTGGAAGAATTAACATCATTAAAATGTCCATACTACCCAAAGCAATCTATAGATTCAATGCAATCCCCATCAAAATACCAACGACATATTTCATAGAACTAGAACAAATACTTCAAAAGTTCATATGGAACCAAAAAAGAGCCCGAATAGCCACAGCAATCTTGAAAAAGAAGAACAAATTAGGTGGGATCACAATACCATATATCAGGTTATACTACAAAGCCACTGTAATCAAAACAGCCGGGATCACAATACCAGATATCAAGTTATACTACAAAGCAACTGTAACCAAAACAGCCTGGTACTGGCACAAGAATAGGCATATAGACCAGTGGAACAGAACTGAAAACCCAGAAATGGACCCAAGGCAATATGCTCAGTTAATATTTGACAAAGGCGGCAAGAGCATACAGTGGAGTAAAGACAGCCTCTTTAATAAATGGTTTTGGGAAAATTGGACAGCTACATGCAAAAAAATGAAACTGGACCATCAACTTACACCATACACAAAAATAAACTCAAAATGGATAAAAGACTTAAATGTGACCCATGAATCTATAAAAATTCTAGAAGAAAATGTAGGCAACAAACTTTCGGACATCATACGGAGCAGATTTTCACTGATACATCACCTAAGGCAACAGAAATAAAGGAGAAAATGAACACATGGGACTACATCAAACGAAAAAGCTTCTGCACAGCAAAAGAAACAATCATCAAAATGGAAAGGCAACCCACTGTATGGGAGAACATCATTGCCAATGATGTATCAGATAAGGGGTTAATTTCCAATATATAGAGAGTGCTCATACAACTCAACAAAAGGAAGACAAAGAACCCAATTTAAAAATGGGCAGAGGAGCTGAATAGACACCTCTCCAAACAGGACATACAAATGGCCAAGAGACATATGAAAAAATGCTCAACATCACTAATCATCAGAGAGATGCAAATTAAAACAACAATGAGGTATCACCTCACACCTGTCAGAATGGCCGCCATCAATAAATCATCAAACAACAAGTGTTGGCGAGGGTGTGGAGAAAAGGGGACTCTAATACACTGCTGGTGGGAATGCAGACTGGTGCAGCCGCTGTGGAAAACAATATGGTGTTACCTCAAAAAATTAAAAATTGAACTTCCATTTGACCCAGTGATCCCACTGCTAGGAATATACCCTAAGAAGCCTGAAACACCAATCGGAAAGAATATATGTACCCCCATGTTCATAGCAGCACTATTTACAATAGCTAAGATCTGGAAACAGCCCAAGTGTCCATCAGTAGACGAATGGATAAAAAAGCTGTGGTACATATACACAATGGAGTACTATGCAGCGGTAAGAAAGAAAGATCTCTTATCCTTTGAGATGACATGGAGGGACCTGGAAAGTATTATCCTAAGTGAAAGAAGCCAAGCAGAAAAAGACAAATACCACATGATCTCACTTATATACGGAATATAATGAACATAACAGTCTGAGGAATACAGTAGACCCAGAAACATGGAAGTAGGGCACCTACTGACACCCCTCAGAAGAGGGGGTGGGGGCGTGGGAAGAGATAAACCACAGAACTTATATACATGTATGCATGACCAATGGACACGGACAACTAAGCCGGGGACAGGGCGGGGGTGGGGTGGGGAGAGGGGTGCCAATGGGGTAGAAAGGGTAAAATATCTGTAACAAAAAAATAAATAAATAATTTATTAAAAAAAAGAAAAAAAAGAATGAAGCCTGGCCAGTGTGGCTCAGTAGTTGAGCATCACATGCACCAAGAGGTCACCGCTTCAATACCCGGTCAGGGCACATGCCCAAGTTGTGGGCCAAATCCCCAGTGGGGATGGGGGGGGGCATGCAGGAGGCGGTCAATTGATGTTCTCTCTCATCGATGTTTCTAACTCTCCCTCTCTCTAAAAATCAATAAAGAAAAAAAGAGTTTAGTTGTTTAAAAAAAAAAAAAGAAGACTCTGATATTTTGTTGTTGTAGTTTTGCCACTAGATTCTGCAGACTGTGCTGGTGGTATTGGCTTAAACCTGCATCACCCCAGCCTTCCCTGTTTCTCCTGGGGACATGCAGGTGACAGCTGACTTAAGACACACACACCCAGGGCTGTGCTGGGGCGCAGGAACGCACCCCTGTAGCTCCCACACACAAGAAAACACACCAGAACAACAATGGAGAAGAAGGAGCTTCCCTAAGAGGTGTAATTAAAAAAAAACATTTTTCTTCTTTATTGATCTTAGAGAGGAAGGGAGAAGGAGAGAGAAATAGAAACATCGATGATGAGAGAGAACATCGATTGGCCGCCTCCTGCACGCTCCCCACTGGGGACCGGGCCCACAACCTGGGAACGTGCCCTGACCAGGAATCAAACCGGCGACCTCTTGGTGCAGGGTGGACGCTCAACCACTGAGCCACACGGCAGGGCAAGAGGCGTAAATTTCCCCCCCCTTCACGTGTTTTTAGAGAGAAAGGAAGGGAGAAGAGAGAAACGTGTACGAGAAACATCCGCCGGCTGCCTCCTGCACACCCTCTAGTGGGGATCAGAGCCCACAACCGGGGCACCTAACGGGAATCCAAAGGGGATGTCCCAGTTCATGGAGGGGTGCGCAATCCACGGAGCCACACGGACCAGGCGAGAGGTTCATCTTGAACCTTCACGACCTGGGGCTCCCCGACCGCGATCGATACATTCGGAGACAATCCGGTGCTGGATGCCGGGCGACCACTATGATTTCATAAATACACCTTCCCCCGAACGCTCCAAATCTCAGCTCTGACCACGTTCCTGTGCGGCAGCCACGCGCCCGGAATGCACCCCCAGAGAAGACAGCTTTCGGAGGTGCAGCTCCGCCGCCGAGAGCCCGGAATGCACCCCCAGAGAAGACAGCTTTCGGAGGTGCAGCTCCGCCGCCGAGAGCCCGGAACGCACCCCCAGAGAAGACAGCTTTCGGAGGTGCAGCTCCGCCGCCGAGAGCCCGGAATGCACCCCCAGAGAAGACAGCTTTCGGAGGTGCAGCTCCGCCGCCGAGAGCCCGGAACGCACCCCCAGAGAAGACAGCTTTCGGAGGTGCAGCTCCGCCGCCGAGAGCCCGGAATGCACCTCCAGAGAAGACAGCTTTCGGAGGTGCAGCTCCGCCGCCGAGAGCCCGGAACGCACCCCCAGAGAAGACAGCTTTCGGAGGTGCAGCTCCGCCGCCGAGAGCCCGGAACGCACCCCCAGAGAAGACAGCTTTCGGAGGTGCAGCTCCGCCGCCGAGAGCCCGGAACGCACCCCCAGAGAAGACAGCTTTCGGAAGTGCAGCTCCGCCGCCGAGAGCCCGTGGCCCGGCCCTGCCAGGCAATCGCCGCCGGAGAGCGCGGCGGGTCCTCGCCCCTCACTTCCGGCCCCGGCGCCCCGCCCCCATGACGCCAACACGCCGCGCCGCCGGTGCGTCATTGCGGCGCGCCTCTCGGCGGCGGACCATGGCGGAGGTGGGCCGGGCTGTGGTGCGTGACCCCGGCGCGCTGCTCCCCGGCGGCTTCTGGGCGGCGGTGGCCGTGTGGCTGGAGAGGCCGCAGGTGGCCAACAAGCGGCTGTGTGGCGTCCGCCTGGAGGCCCGGCGGAGCGCTGTTCTGCCGGGGACCGAGCCCCGCGGCCCCAGGCCCGGTGCCGGCCCCGAGCCGGAGGAGCCGGCCGCCGCGGGATGCGGGTCCGAGGAGAGACCGGGACCCGGCGAGCGTCCCTCCGCGGACGGCTCGGGCCTCAGGCCCAGCGCGGGCCCGGACGAGCCCCGGGGCCGGCGCCAGCAAGGGGAGGGCCAGAGGGAGGCCGCCGCGGCGTCTCTGCTCGCAGGGGCCCCGGGACAGCGCGGCGGGGCTGAAGGCGGGGAGGCCGCCTTCCCCACCGCGGATCTGGACTCTCTCTGGGACGATTTCTCCCGGAGCCTCGTGGGCGACCACCGGGAGCTGCTGGCCTTCCTCGCCGGCTCAGGGGCAGGACTGCAGCCCGAGGCCCGGCACGAGCTCGACGTGGTTCTCAGAACCGTCATCCCGAAGAGGAGCCCGCACTGCCCGCTGGCTGCTCCGAGGAGAGAGGTGGTCGTGCGAGGTAAGCGGTGCGCAGGGAAACGCAGCCGGGCGCTGGCGAAGGTGGCAGGGCGAGGTGTTCATTATTCGTACATTTGCCGGAGGGAGCCGAGTCCACATTGCCCCACACTCTTCGCTTTGTGACTGGGCGTTTTAAAGGGAGAATGGTGGTGTTGGGGGAGGGGGTTCTACGCCTGTGAAGCCCATCTGGGTTTGTTAGCTGGTGCCTATAGCTTCCTATCCTCCCACAGCCGCAGATGGGCGTCCTCTTCAGGTGTGGGCTGGAAGACTTTTTTTTTTATTTTTTAATGTCCGTCTTGAATTTTCTCAGGCAGACACTTTAAGGGGGCTTAGGGCTCCTAGGAATGCAGCTTTGAGCTGTTAGGATCCATGCTAGCGTTTGTTCAAGTGTTTCTGGCCAACATCGAGGTCTCTTGGAGAAAGGGCTCAGAGGAGCCTGGCTCGAGTTTGGTCAAGAAGAGAATCTTTTGTTTAAAGAGCATTCGCGGAACCCAGGTCAGTGAAAAGGCGCAAATGTACCTACTGTACCGGTTCCTTTGCAACGTTCTAGGGAGGTTATAGATTTTTTTTGAGGGGAGGGGGGTGCATGGAAATGTATTTTAGTGTAGAGGGTGGGGGTCATTGATTGGGTGGTGTCTGGAAGTCTTGGGGAGAAGGGCAAGGTGCAGTGGACGTGGGACGACAGATAGTTGAACAGGTAAACAGAGGCTCGAAGAAGCCACTCCTGGAGGAGCCCGCAGAGGCCACCCACCGGCTCGTGCACACAGCTCCCTACCTCTGAGAGCCGGCTGGTGTTGGTCCTTCTCATGCTTGGAATCTCTCTGATTTCCCCGCCTGCTGCACTGCTTCTGCCTCCAGCTGAGAAGGCTCAGTTTTAGATGGAGCCCACCTGTACTCTCCCTCTTCTAAGGTCTGTAACCTGAACCACTTCTGCAAAGTCCCTTTTTGCCACGGAACAAAGCATAGTCACAGGTTCAGGGTATTAGGGTGTAGACACCTTTGGGAGGTTGTTCTGTTTGCACAAGCAGCAATGCTAAATTTCTGGTAGTGCATACCTCCCTGCCCCCCTTCTCAGTACTGTCTGCCCCTGTGACCCTGTAAGACTCTTCCAGGTGTCCCCTCCTCCAGGAGGCCCTCTCAGACTCTGCTGTGCCTAGGCTAGTATAGGTCTTCCAGCTTTTATCAACTGTGTTTGATTACCTTTTACATTTCACCTCTACTAAACTGAAGCAGACCTCTAAGAGGCAAAGCTAAATGTCTTTTAGTGAGTGTGGGCTGAGACCTACTAAGAAGGGCTCTGGGTGGCTAACTGGACTTGAAATAAAATAAAATAAAATAAAATAAAATAAAATAAAATAGAAACACACAACAAAAACCCAGAACCTAGCAGCCACTCCTGCACGGGGCCTTCTCAAGCAGAGTGCATTCAGGGAGGAGCCTGCATGGAGCCACCTGCCAGTATTGCCTTCCTGCCCTCTGAGCCTGACCACTATAAAGGAATTCCAGGATTCCTATTTCAACCAATAGGACTGAGGCTTTCCCCATCCAATGGGAGCTGTGCTGCTCTGACCAATAGAGTGACTGTATTCTGACCAATCAAACTGGGAGGATTTGGAATCTTCATTTGCATGATGAAAGACTAATCAGGGACCAGGGGCGGGGACTTCTGATCATATAAACCAGCTCCCCTCTGGCTTTGAAAATGTACCTTCCTTTTCTACTGAAGGCTGGGCTCCCTTCCTGAGCAGAAACACCAGAGGTGTCTCTGGAGTGGAAGCCGGAAGTGGAATGGAACGGCAGGGAGCAGAGCTGTGCAGCTGGAGAGGGGCCTGGCCCAGGGCAGCCTCACAGTCTTGCTGTTTCACCGCTGTGCTGCACCACAGTTGAGCTGTTTTGCACTGAATGAAGTTCCCTTTTCTTAAAAATCCTTACCCAAGGATATTTTTCCATTTATTTCCAGATAGGGTGGGAGGGAGGGGTATATATAGAGAGAGACACCAATGTGAGAAAGAGATACCACAGCTTGGTGGCCTTCTGCATGACCCTGACCAGGACTGGAGATGAACCACAACTGACGTTCGTGCCCTTGACCGGAATCAAGTTCATGACTCTTTGGTCCGGGGGCCGACGCTCTAACCATTGAACAAAACTGGCCAGGGCAAGTTTCCTTCTTCACGGCACTCTAAATTGGCGATTCTTTTGGTGAATTGGTGCCAAGCACCATCCATCGTAGATTGGCAAGAAGATAGTGCTCTGTCAACCTGGAGGGCCATTTTTAGGACTGCTCCTGCTGGCACACGGGCTCGGTGCAGCAGCGACCAGGACACAAGTCTGTCTGTCCTGGGCACTGTAAGTAGGGTGGGGGAGCCCTGGGAGGCTGAGGCACACCACCTGACGGTTACTATGGTTAGTAGCACTGCTGTAAGACACTGAGCTAAGCTGCTTGAATCTATCTATATCTTTTTTCCCCAGACGTCCTTAATGGAACTGTAAGTTTTTTACCTTTGCAAGAAGATAACGAAGGGAATTTAAAGGTTAAGATGGACAACGTGTATCAGATTCAGCTCAGTCACAGCGGAGAAGAATGGTAAGAGCTGGGTGATTGGTTCCTCACTGTTTCAGTTGGTTGTTTCTTTAGGTGTCTGTAAGGTCCTGGGCCGAGGAAGAGCCGAGTGGACTCTCAGGTGGTTAAGTGTGTGTGTGTTTGCTCTAGCTGGTGCCTGGCTTGCATCTGTGTGGGCACAGCCTGGCGGGAGTCTTCAGTCTCTACATCCCATGTAGCGCTTCGTTATAGCAGTGGCTTCAAATGAACTCAGATCCCTTTATTTTCCTACTGTTTACAGCTTGGCAGCGGAGAGTAAGTGTGAGCTTTTTGTTTCCTGCTGAGGCCCCCAACTTTGGATAAGTGGGTATTTAGTAATGCATATTACAAAACTAGCACTTTAATTAGCTCCCTTTGTTCTGAATGGTTGGGTGTGCAGAAAGTCGAAATTTGGTTTACTTCCATCTGGTATTTTTTTAAATGAAAAAGCCAGAGGAAGGGTAAATTCACTCATCACTGATGTTTTCCTAAAGCCACATCTGGCCTGAACTTTCTAAAACAAACTGGGGCTTGCCTGTTTCCCCAGAATGGGCTTTGCTCATGGTTTTGTAGAAAGCAGAGGGGTGCAGTAGGCAGAGCTTGGTTTGGGGTCAGAGGGACTTGGATTTCCTGCTGGCAGTGTGACCTTGGGGACGTAGTAGCCTTCATGGCCCTCAGTCTTCACGTTGTGAAGTAGGTTCGTAATTAAGCCTCTGAGGAGGGGTTGGACTTCACGCTGCCAGCTTAGGGGCCTGATGGGAATGCTTAGGGCCTGCCCCGCGACACCTCTTGAGCATTGTCAGGAGGTTGCCAAGGACGTGTCCTGAGACCTTTCCTCTCAGCCTGCTCTTGTGGGAAAGGGGAGTGAGCGGACCCTGTGGTTTGCCTGTGGTGGTCGCTGCGTGGGTACTCGTGTCGAGCTATTCGGTGAGCATCAGCCACGTCTGTGCTCGGGTATGTGGTGCGGCTCCTGCCCAGCCTGGTCATGGCAGGTTCTCAGTACATTGATGGGTAATAATCACTTTTTCTGGTTTTCAGTGAGTTGCTGAGGGCTCGACTGGCTGCTCCCACGTGGCCGGGTTGGCATTTCCTGCCGTGGCTCACTGGCAGCTGGCAGGGCCCTCCGAGCAGGCACACGTGGGGGTGGACTTGTGCCCTCTCAGCGGAGCACACGTTAATGGACGTCTGAATGGCTGTCACTGTCCAGTGTGGCTCCTCAGCCTTGTCTCAGCTGTGTGCGTGCACCACGTGCTGGCCCGGGGACAGGACGGGAGGTCGGGGGTCTCTGCCCACGGTCCCTCCTTAGCAGAGGCGGTGCCAGCACGCAGGTGGGTGTGCAGACCTCTGAAGCGGGGGCACCCAGAGAGCCTCAGTGGGTGAGGGGCAGGTGTGGGCCAGGAAGAGCGGGGGGGCCACCATGGTTTTCCAGCCCCAGCAGGAGAGCCTCGAGGTGAAGGGACAGGAAAGCTGAGTATCAAGTGTCCTTCCCAAGCTCTTCCTGCACGGCCTCCGCCCTGGGTGCTTCTCGAGCTGCAGAGCTGTTACCTACGGGACTGGGTCTGCCTGACAGCCATCGCTCTCACCGGGCCACTTGCCCTTCTCCGCGTGCCTGTCTTCAGCTCTGCCCCTCATCCAGCCGCCTGCTCCTGCCTGCTCCGAGGAACCCTGTTAAACGCCTCCCCCTTTTTTGTAGCCCAGCAGACTTGGCTGCTCTCCCCTCACCCTGCTGCCTGAATTGCAGCCTTGGAGAGTGTGTTGTGATCTGGGCCTGCTGCTTGTCATGGATCAGGCAGTGTCGGGAGCTGTGACCTCGCTGTGTTCTGGTGGCGGGCCGCACCACAGGCAAAATGACCTGGATGCTGCCAGGGACTGCGTGTGTCCTTAGCTCTGTGCTGAGCACATGGCTTCCTGGCTAGTAAACACTTGGTGGACCAGTAAACTCACATTTAAGATGTAGAGTGCAAATGCGTGAAGAATAGATGTTGGAAAATCCACAGACACTTTAGAACCTGCTTAATTAGTGGCTTCAACAGAGGGTGAGGAACTTGGCTGTTTGTTGCCTGTCCTTCTGGTGGGCTCTGTAGGGTGTGTAATGCGTTGTAGCAGTGTTTGCAAGTGAAGGGGAATGTTTTTGCTTTTGAGACGTGTTTTTCTCTTAGATGAGAATTCTGTGATGCATGCTAGATATTTTGTGTCCGGGTGAGATACTTTGTAACGTAGCTGTCTCCTCTCTTTGGTGGATGAACATGTAATTCACAAACAACTGAAACCATCTTACTCTGTTTCTTATTTTTAAAGGTTCATGTCTGTTTCAATTTTCTGTCCAGAAAGATGGCATTCGGATGGAATTGTTTATCCCAAACCCACCTGGCTGGGACAAGAGCTGCTGGCCAAGCTGGCCAGGTGGTCGGTGGAGAGCAAGAGGAGCGCGTTTAAAAGCACCCTGTCCCTCATCCCCATTCTGAAGTACAGCCAGGCTTACCAGGAGCTCAGAGCGAAGTACAGAGACATGGTCAAGGTAACTGGGAGGAGGCTGCTGCCCCCTTACTTAAGAGGCCGTGTGACCAAGCTGCGCAGGTGCAGAGCTGCGAGGTCAGGAGGTGCCTGAGGGCTGAGGGTGCGAACCGCAGAGGTGCCAGCAGCTGTGGTGTGGGGGAAAATCCCGTTCTTTGCACATTACTAATTTTTTCCCTAGAGAACAAAGGGAAATACTTTTTAAAAATAATTGAGTGCTAAATTAATTACTAAATTACCATAAATCTTTGTGTAAACTTAAAGAAAATACATGAAAAGTTAAAATACAAAAGTATATACTTACAAAAAAGGAGATAAATTTTATAACATGCCCTTCACTTTATATCTGAGATATAGAAAGGCAGTAACAACAATCAGCTGTGTGTACGCTGAGCTTAAATAATTAATGTAGTTAAACCTCCTTTTTACTCTGCCTAATTCACCTCTCCCTCCCTCCTCCTCGAAGCAGCCATGATGTGTCATTTCTTTGTATCTTTATCTTAGTCACCTGTTGCCATGCAACAAAGCACCCAAAAGTCACAGGCTTAGGACAGTAATGCTTCCTTCCTGCTGACACCTGTGTCGGTCTGGGGGTTGGCTGACTGGGCTTCCTCTCCCAGGTCTCCGCCAGGTCGCTCTGGGTTCCCTTGGTGACTGGGCAGTCCCTCTGGGAAGCAACATCGATGTTCTCCCAGCCTTTAGAATTGCCCTCAGCGAGTGGTTCGTGCGAACTGTCCGCCCACTCTGACTGGGACAGCAGCCTGAACGTTTAGCCGGCCGTCGGTTCTCCCTCTTCCGCCAGACACCCGTCTGCGCATCGTTGACATTAACCGTGGGGCCCTGCTTGCACAGCTGGCGTTTCACATTTTCACAGCACCTGGGGGCATCCTGTGTGCTGGTTACAGTTTTATTCCTGCTTTACAGACAGGGCGATGGGGACGGAACAGCTGAGAAGTGGCAGCCAGTCTCTGCAGACCGGAGGGCCGGAGCGCTGGCCTCCTGACCTGCACTCGCTCCCCATTCCCTCGGTGTGTTGTCTTCATCTGGACAGGCCACCAGGCTAGTGCAGCTGAGTGTCCTGTAGCACCGAGATGTCTTACACCCTGTCTTTGCTGCGGACTCTGCCCTGGGTTGCCTCGCCCTGAGGTGTCCCCTTGCACACAGACATGGGGAGAGTGTTGTCTCTATACAAACCTCTTATTGTAAGAGACTGAATTTCTGCCTTTGGAACAAGTTTATTTTTTTAAATGTATTGCATAATCAGTTCAGTTTGATATGCCTATTGCGGCACTTGAAGTACTGAGACATGTTGTGAGGTGGAGAACAATGTGTTCAATCCAGAAAATTTCCTAGGTGTGGCCTGAAGTGACTGATCCTGAAAAATTTGTGTATGAAGACGTGGCTATTGCTACCTACCTGCTGGTAAGAGCATCCCTAATCCAAGCTGCCATTGGGGGTGGGGGTGGCCACCAGCCAGTGCTGCCGGTGGTAAGCAGCGTTCATCACACTTTGGGGGCTTCTGCTTTGGGAGGGCCAAGGTTGGTTACGCATGCAACGTGTTCTTTGAACTTTGCACAAGTGGTGAGCAGTGTGAATTGGGCAGCCTAACTGTAGGAGCGCAAGCTGAACCAGTGCTCCCGTAATTAATAGTCAGTGTGAAGATGCTGGCGTTCGGGGGCCCCTGACGGGAGGCACCTGGGGAGGACATGCCTGGCAGCCTCAGCATTCAGGGTCCTAGCTGGATCCTGCCCTGGCCAGTTCGCTCAGCACCTAGGTTTGCACGTGCCCTTTGACTCACTAGTCTTGGTTTTTTACCTATAAAATGTTCAGACTAGGTGTTTTTCAGCTTCCTTTCAACTATAGTTCTCTTAGTCTTTTGAGAAATAGCATAATTTCGTTTTCATTATCAACTTGTACTAAACTTGAAGGCTGTAGAGAAAGCATGAAGAAACTAGTCTCTGAAGCTGTTGCCTAGAGATGGCCCTTTTGATGTGGACTGGCAGGCAGAAAAAGCCCGCTGCCCCACGCAGCATCAGACAGGGGGCCGACCCCCTCCCCGAGAACCTGCACATCACCTGTGCGGAAACCCAGGCCCTAGCCCCCCCCCCCCCCCTTCTCAGCGCGAGTTTGAGTCCCTTGTGGGCTTGTGCCTGGATTATTCTGGGTTGGGGTGGATTACAGACTTCTCGTTTATTTTTTCCTGTTAGGTTTTATGGGAAGAAGAGAGAGCCACCCGGGGAGTGACAGCCAAGCAGTCTTTTGTGGACTTGGGGTGCGGGAACGGTCTCCTGGTGCACATCCTGAACAGTGAGGGGGTAAGCACGGGCCACGCCATTCCAGCACCTTTCCTCGCGCGTCTCCCATCCAGCCGTAGCCACGGAGAGCTGCTCTGGAGGCGGAGGCGGCCTGGCTGTGGGGCTAGTAGCTGGTGCGCATTGCCTGCAGGGTGGGTGTCATGCGACACGAGGAAAGCCAGCCGGGTCGTTAGACTAGAGGAGGTGTTATCGGGGACATGCCAGGCGCCTGGAAACCACAGGCTTCAACAGCACGTGGGTTTTGCTGTCGAGTATTTTCTTGGAAATCCCACCATTTCAAGGGGCTGGAAGGGGAAGAAGGTGGAGGAGGGCTCTGCCCTCGAGGAGCTTTTCTAGCCCAGAGGACTGGTGCGTGCACACTCACCCCTGGGCGGCTGCTCGTGTCTGCAGCCCTGTCTGCGCCGGTGAAGCAGTGGTCAGCACAGGTGCGTGCACACTCACCCCTGGGCGGCTGCTCGTGTCTGCAGCCCTGTCTGCGCCGGTGAAGCAGTGGTCAGCACAGGCGCGTGCACACTCACCCCTGGGCGGCTGCTCGTGTCTGCAGCCCTGTCTGCGCCGGTGAAGCAGGCGGTCAGCACAGGCGCGTGCACACTCACCCCTGGGCGGCTGCTCGTGTCTGCAGCCCTGTCTGCGCCGGTGAAGCAGGCGGTCAGCACAGGCGCGTGCACACTCACCCCTGGGCGGCTGCTCGTGTCTGCAGCCCTGTCTGCGCCGGTGAAGCAGCGGTCAGCACAGGCGCGTGCACACTCACCCCTGGGTGGCTGCTCGTGTCTGCAGCCCTGTCTGCGCCGGTGAAGCAGTGGTCAGCACAGGCGCGTGCACACTCACCCCTGGGCGGCTGCTCGTGTCTGCAGCCCTGTCTGCGCCGGTGAAGCAGTGGTCAGCACAGGCGCGTGCACACTCACCCCTGGGCGGCTGCTCGTGTCTGCAGCCCTGTCTGGGCTGGTGAAGCAGGCGGTCAGCACATAGAACAGCACCAGGCACGGCGGTTGCCCAGAGCTGTTGGCACTGCTCCGCCCTCCTGGCCAGTCCAGTGCACTAGGACCCGGACCTCATCACCTGGTGCGGCTGACGGGGCTCAGTGGCTTACACTGAGGCCGATAGCTGGGGTGTGAATCCCAGTGGTGACCCCAAGACTGATTTCTATCCCCACAGGAGCCTCTGCCTTGGGATCAGGCATGTTTGTCCTCACTGTGGGAACTTGGAAAGGGTTTGTCACGGTGTACTTTTTGAATTGCTTTGTAAGAGGATAAATCGTAATACCTGTAAACAGGTTGTGTCCGGTATTAGCACATGGCGTGATGACCTGGAAGCTGGTAGAAGACAGGCTGGGGGTGGGAGTCATGAAATAGATACAGTTGCCCTGTGGGAATTCGAGAGTGGAATGCCACGCGAGAGGCCACCTGAGGGGCCACCTGAGGGCAGGGCCGTCTTGGCGGGCGACCTGGAAGAGGAGCCCAGCCTGCGGTCCGAACCTGACAGAACCAGGAAGCCTGTGTCCTGGGCTCCAGCCAGAGGTGTTCCATTACGTCCACTCTATGTCCCCTGACAAGAACTCAGACTTCCAGGGGGCGCAGGTCTGCCGTGCACACTGACAGCCATGCCTGCGGGCCCGATGAATTGTCAACTGACCTTCGTTTCCTGAAATTATTTCAGCATCCAGGCAGAGGGATCGACGTGCGCAGAAGAAAGATCTGGGACATGTATGGGCCGCAGACTTGCTTAGAGGTACTGGCTTTGTTCATTGCCTTGCTCTCCGGTCACTACCCCTTCTGATTATTGCTTTGATGAGTGTATTTCTGCGTATAGGTCAATCAGATGCTAACCAAAACCATTCACGTTGATCTAAATAATCTGAGGGTTAGGAAAAGGATGCCTCTTTAGACTTTTCAAAGCCTCTTGTTAAGTTGAAGAAAGGATGCTGACCCCTGGAGCCGGAAGTGTGTCTTCTCCACTGGGTCTGCTGCAGGGGACTTTGCATCTTCTGTGGGTGCTGGGTGCTGCCTGATGGGGCAGAGGACAGGTCGGGGAGAAGCCGGGTGGGGGTAAAGGAACCTGGGCTGGACGGCAGGCTGTGGGGTGGAGCCAGGTGAGGGGTAAAGGAACCTGGGCTGGACGGCAGGCTGTGGGGAGGAGCCAGGTGAGGGGTAAAGGAACCTGGGCTGGACGGCAGGCTGTGGGGAGAAGCCGGGTGGGGGTAAAGGAACCTGGGCTGGACGGCAGGCTGTGGGGTGGAGCCAGGTGAGGGGTAAAGGAACCTGGGCTGGACGGCAGGCTGTGGGGAGGAGCCAGGTGAGGGGTAAAGGAACCTGGGCTGGACGGCAGGCTGTGGGGAGAAGCCGGGTGGGGGTAAAGGAACCTGGGCTGGACGGCAGGCTGTGGGGAGGAGCCAGGTGAGGGTAAAGGAACCTGGGCTGGACGGCAGGCTGTGGGGAGGAGCCAGGTGAGGGGTAAAGGAACCTGGACTGGACGGCAGGCTGTGGGGAGGAGCCAGGTGAGGGGTAAAGGAACCTGGGCTGGACGGCAGGCTGTGGGGAGGAGCCAGGTGAGGGGTAAAGGAACCTGGGCTGGACGGCAGGCTGTGGGGAGGAGCCAGGTGAGGGGTAAAGGAACCTGGGCTGGACGGCAGGCTGTGGGGAGGAGTCGGGTGAGGGTACAGGAACCAGGACTGGACGGCAGGCTGTGGGGAGGAGCCAGTGAGGGTACAGGAACCTGGGCTGGATGGCAGGCTTGGGGAGGAGCCAGGTGCGGGTTAAAGGAACCGGGCTGGACGGCAGGCTGTGGGGAGGAGTCGGGTGAGGGGTACAGGAACCTGGACTGGACTGCAGGCTGTGGGGAGGAGCCAGGTGAGGGTACAGGAACCTGGACTGGACGGCAGGCTGTGGGGAGGAGCCAGGTGAGGGTACAGGAACCTGGGCTGGATGGCAGGCTGTGGGGAGGAGCCAGGTGAGGGTACAGGAACCTGGGCTGGACGGCAGGCTGTGGGGAGAGCGGTGAGGGGTAACAGGAACCTGGACTGGACTGCAGGCTGTGGGGAGGAGCCAGGTGAGGGTACAGGAACCTGGACTGGACGGCAGGCTGTGGGAGGAGCCAGGTGAGGGTACAGGAACCTGGGCTGGATGGCAGGCTGTGGGGAGGAGCCAGGTGAGGGTACAGGAACCTGGGCTGGATGGCAGGCTGTGGGGAGGAGCCAGGTGAGGGTACAGGAACCTGGGCTGGACGGCAGGCTGTGGGGAGGAGCCAGGTGAGGGTACAGGAACCTGGACTGGACGGCAGGCTGTGGGGAGGAGCCAGGTGAGGGTACAGGAACCTGGGCTGGACGGCAGGCTGTGGGGAGGAGCCAGGTGAGGGTACAGGAACCTGGGCTGGACGGCAGGCTGTGGGGAGGAGCCAGGTGAGGGTACAGGAACCTGGACTGGACGGCAGGCTGTGGGGAGGAGCCAGGTGAGGGTACAGGAACCTGGACTGGATGGCAGGCTGTGGGGAGGAGCCGGGTGAGGGGTAAAGGAACCTGGGCTGGACGGCAGGCTGTGGGGAGGAGTCGGGTGAGGGGTAAAGGAACCTGGACTGGACGGCAGGCTGTGGGGAGGAGTCGGGTGAGGGGTACAGGAACCTGGACTGGACGGCAGGCTGTGGGGAGGAGTCGGGTGAGGGGTAAAGGAACCTGGGCTGGACGGCAGGCTGTGGGGAGGAGTCGGGTGAGGGGTAAAGGAACCTGGGCTGGACGGCAGGCTGTGGGGAGGAGCAGCTTGTTTGCTCTGAGCTGCCTGCTAGCCTGCTCTTGGACCATGACCATGGGCTGAAGTGTTCCCCGTCACTCTGTCCTTAGTACATCCTAGAGCGCCGTCTCCCTGGGGGCAGGAGTGACCTGTCGCCTCTGGAGCTGGTCTGCTATCGAATGTTCACAAGTGGTCTCTGGCCAAGGCCTCCTAGCCAGCCGGGGAGCACTGCAGTGGGTGCCTGTCCTCACTCCGGGTGGGCACAGCCGCCCTTGCACAGCTGCTGCTGCTGCTGCTGCTGCAGATCACATGGGCGTGACCAGAACACAGGTTCTCACTCCCCAAGGGCAGAAGGCTGACTTCAGATGTGAGAAGGTGTTTACTTTCATGATGGAGAACGTCAGGAATACAGCCACATGCCGCCTAGCGACATCTTGGTCGACCGTGGACACACACAACCGTGGTCTCATCAGGTTACAGTGGAGCTGCAAGTTCCTGTGGCCTAGTGACGTTGTAGCTGCTGGACTCTCTCAGCACAGCTGGACTCATCTGTGCTTGTGGTGACGCTGGTGTGAGCAAGCCCACTGCACTGCCGGGCGTGTGAAAGGGCCACCTGGTCACGGAGATGAGGCTCTGTGTGGTTCACGGATTCACTACTCAGTTACCCCCAGCACGGGCCACCTGGTCACGGAGATGCCCGGCTTGTGCGCTTTCCGTATTTACTATGCTTTCATTACTCTAGAGTCTGCTCCTTGCAGAATCAAGCTTGCTGCACCGCCATCGATGTGTCGTGTTGGTGGCAGCCTTGCACATCTCGTGTCCACCATGTCTCTCAGTGGCATCATTTTCCCTGTGCTTGTTCATTCTCGCGCTGTTGGGTGCGGTGACGTGCTGTACAGGCTGGTGGTCTGGGAGCAGCGGGCAGCGCCCTCCAGGTGGAATGGCTCGGTGACGTTCACATGGCGGTGAGGTTGCCTGACCATGTCGCTCAGAACACACGCCTTGCACAGCGGCGCCTGCTGCAGAGTGGAGAGAGGAATGTGACGAGCCGGAGGCTCGGCGAGCTCCAGAGGTCACCCGTTTGTCTCGCGCTCCCAGCTGAGACTCGCTGCTGTTTAGCCAGCCCTCAGGCATGCCCTTTCATCTGTATTTTCTCTGCCTCGCTTTTTTAAAAGTTGAGAATGATGTTGCAGAAATCTAAAAGATGGGCAGGAAGTTCACTGCAGCTGCCCGACAGCTCTTTGCTTATTTCCCACTGTGTTGCAGCTCTGCTGTGCTACAGGGTTTGCGTTCGCTTATGTAGCCACGTGTTGCAACAAACTACAGATTCTAACTCAGCTCGGGGGCCTGCGGGAGGCGCAGACGTGCACGCAGTCCGTGTGCTCCAACACTGAACGAGGTGGGCTCTCAGCCAGACTCCGTTTTCTCGGGCAGAGTGGAGTCCTGTCTGGATAAGGGGTCAAATGCCAGCTGAACAGGCTCTGTGTTCAAGTCGTGACCCCGCGGAGCTGGTGGCGCAAGGAGCCCTCAGGAGGGGCAGGGGTTAGTACTGCAGTTCCTCGGCAACCTGCCTCCGACTTTTCTGTGCACCGGGACCCACCCCAGCACTCAGTCGGGGTCTTCCGAGAGACAGTCTTGTGTATTTTCCTCATGGTTCCTGACTTTCTTCTTTGTGCTGAGCGAGTCCTGCTTATTCTCGTGTTAAACGTGAAGCCGAGATGACGTTTCTGTGATGCCTCCTGCTTTAGAAGGTCGTGGCCGGAAACACACGTGGTCCTATTCTCCGGTGCACGGTTGTGTGTGGCCTAGTGAGGGAGGCACTCCTGTGAGTGGAAACAGCCTGGACATTCACAGGCCAAGCATGGGGTGCAGCTTCGCCCACTCTTTCCAAAACCTCATTTGATTATAAGCAAGAGACTGGAAAACACACCTGTTTTTAGTGACAGCCTTGTGAGGATCACAGAGTCTCACCTTGTTCGTGAAGTTCAGCGTGAAGTAGGGCTGTTGCAATTTGATAGACTCGGTGTCAATTGAAACTTTATAGAATAGATGGGCTGTGTTATCTAACGTGCTATTGGCAAGATAACTAAACAATTACTATGGTAATTACTGAATGTAAATGATTTTTTTTTTAAATGTATTGATTTTAGAGAAAGGAGGAAGAAAGAGAGAAATGTCGATTTGTTCCACTTATTGATGCATTCATGGGTTGATTCTGATATGTGCCCTGACTGGGGATCAAACCCGCAACCTTAGCATATCAGGACAATGCTCTAACCAACTGAGCTACCCAGCCAGGGCTGAAGGGTGTTTTTATTAATGCGGGCCATTTAAAGAGACAAGTAGGCAGTTTTAACTGTAGAATGAAAAATATAAAAAGAAGGAAAAGTAAATCTAGATGGGGTGTGAATAAAGAATACAGAGCAAAGGTTTGCTTTCCCTACTTTCAAATTATGTATGTACCAGTTGAGCGGTACTGTTCCCAGCATTTTAATGTCATGTAAATAGAAGCATATGTGCTTATTTAATAAGCAGAAATGGAGACTTTAAGGCCTGTTTTCATGTACATATCATGTTTGCAAGACTCCTGTGCTGAGGTTGTACCACAATCCTTGAACGTAAGTGAGTGCTCATAGGTCTCGGTTGTTTTGATCAAGGAGTGATAGTTCCGCTCCTCCTGGGAACTTGTTCTTCAGCTTCAAAATTGAGAGGATTTTGAGTAGTTACATAGTATCTTTTCTCTTTCTGTATTTGACTGGACAAATTCACTTTTGAGACTGTTACCGATTTCAGTAATTAATGATGGACTGCTATTGAGCAGAAAGGCTAGTGTTTCAAGTCCTTAAATCCTAAAAGCAAACTGTTTCAAGCTTAACTTCAGAAATAATCAGGATAGAAAGTATCAGCGGACTCCTGAGGCCGTGTGCTCCTATGTCAGCTTCACCCCGCTGCTCTGTGCTCACCACCGGAAGGCCATTTCTTCTTCCCAGATGCTGCTGAAGGGACACCATTCATGTGGCCCTCTCTCCCACAGTGCTTTCTTATGTTTGTTTAAAGAAGCTCATTTCTAATGATCAAAAGGAGATGAGCTCTTAGAGAAGTGTTACTCGTTTCTCTGGCGATGACACTAGAAGTGGCCGGTTTTCCGTGCCTGTTGCAGCGAACAGCAGGCAGGTACTCAGCCCCTCCCTCCTAGTCCTGGTGTTACCTTCACCCGGAGCCCAGGCGCTGAGGCCCTGCTGGAACGCAGCTGTGTTTATACAGGGCCCTGCCCCCACGGCGTCCTGCTGCCGCAGCAGCTCTGGTGCATCACTGAGCTTTCGTTCTGTTCCTGTACTTGCTCTCAGGAAGCTGCAATCACACCCAGTGATGACACCCTGTTCCCTGACGTCGACTGGTTGATCGGTAACCATTCCGATGAGCTAACACCATGGATACCTGTCATTGCAGCCAGGTGAGTGCAGACATTGCAGGGTGAACGCTGGGGTGTTCGTGCCTGAACCTCGCTGTGCAAGACGGCAGCCCTAGCTGGTGTGGCGACTGAGCACCTGAGACGCAGCTGGTTCAGGTTGTTGAAATGATCACATATTGGATTAAACGTGAAATTCCACCTATTTTATTATTTAAAATATGGGTACTAGACAAAGCTAAATTACACACGTGCAGGTGTGTTTCTTTGGGACAGTGCCGATCGAGACAGGTTACTTCCACAGTGTTCATAGTGCTGCAAGATGTCTTTTTTTTTTTTTTTGGAAGGTCTCTTTACTTGATAGGAGGGTTTATCTTCAAAGGAAAAAATCTGTCAATATAAAAACAGCTTGCAGCAGTTTCTCTCCAATAACTTTATGCGTCTGTCAGCGATGGCGTATATCTTTGTGTCGGGCCTTAAGAGGTGCCACTTATGCTGCTGCCCTGAAAGATTCTGTTGCCAAGTCTCCTGTCTCCAGGCTTCTTGTGCCCCATTGCTGCTCTGGAGGAATCGCAGGGCAAGGAGCAGGTCTTAACCTTCTTGGTGCCTGCCCCATTTCTGGCCTGAGTTTGCAACATTGTTACAACATCATTAGCTATGGGTTTCATTGGAAAGGTGCCCTGTGCTACTTTGTTTTTGCAGGTCAAGCTGGGAAGGCTGTGCTCCTTTTCATAGAACACAACAAACACACTGGTGTCCGTGGGTTTCGGTCCATGGGGGCCACGTGGCTTTCTGTTCTCTTAACAAACATGTTGAAGACCTGCTTTTTGTGCTTGTGCATGTTTTGAAGGTCTTCCTACCACTGCCGTTTCTTTGTCCTCCCCTGCTGCTTCTTTGACTTCGTCGGAAGGTACTGCCGGAGGCAGAGCGAGAAGACGCAGTACCGAGGATACCTGGATTTCATCCGAGAGGTGGGCTCCGCCTGTGGGTTCCACGTGGAGGAGGACTGCCTGCGGATCCCTTCCACCAAGCGAGTGCGTCCTGACCCTGGGTGTTCTCGGTGGGCAGCGTGGCCGCGCGTAGGTGGGAAGCTCAGGTTCACGGCACAGAGCCGTGTTCCCGCAGGCGCCTGTGCCGGTCTGACCCCTTCTGCGCTTCCTCCTCCGGGGTGTCCTGGCACCCCTTCTCCAGGCTGCTTGCGGGAACCCTCGCCAGTCTGGATTGTTTTTCCAGAAACTGAAGGGCCCGAGGGGACCTCCCCAGAGTAGGTGTCAGCTTGGCCTGTGTCGCGCTCTCTCAACCTTGTAGTGTTGTCTGAGGCCCAGCACCTGCGCAGGCCTGAGCAGTGAGCATTTCCTGGGCCCTTGCTGCTGTTTGCCGTTAGGGCGCTGGCGCTGGCGCTGGCATGGGTCCTTGGAGGAGGGACTTCTTCATGGTAGACAGCCAAGGCTTTGTGTGACCGTGCTCCGGGACACGTGAGTCCCACGGAGAGCGCTGCCGCACGGAGGGCTGACGTGTTCTTCTCAACGCAGGTGTGTCTCATCGGGAGCTCCCGGACGTACCCGCCCGCCGCCGAGCCCGCCGCCGAGCAGCAGCGGACGCAGTACGTTCTCAGCCGGCGGGGCCGCCCTGGAGGACCGCCTGTCGAGGGGCCTGCCCCTGCCCCACCCCAGGTGGTTGCTGGCAACGTTGACCGCTGTCCCCGTGGTCATTCCGACGGTCACAGAGCCCTGGATGCAGGGGCTGAAGGACGCTGGCTGCCTGGGTTTCACCCGAGAGAGAAGGTGGAGCGTGTGAAGAATTGCGCTGCCCTCCCTCGAGAGTTTGTTGACCACGTGGTTCTGCAAGTGGCAAATTTGTTATTGGGTGGAAAGCAGTCAAACCAGAGAAGTTGTCACAGCGAGAGTTTGAAGACCTGGAACCAAGGAGGTAACCGTCCCCACTGGCCAGGGTGCTGCTGGGTTTCGGGCAGCGGCTCCATCTCCTGGGGTGTCGTTCTCTGTTAAGTGTCTTCTAGCGGCCGTGGTAACTGGGAGGCTCCTCACAGCTCATAATTGCATTCCCTGGGGTCCTGCTGACCAAGGACGGCCGCCTCCCAGGAGGGGCTGAGGGCAGGCATAGCCCTGGGCCTTAGTGAGCTCTCACAGACCTTTGGGTCCAGGGTCTGCAGCTGTTCATGTTCAGTCTGCAGAGCTCATCCTAACAGAAAACGGGGTGCGGGGTGCGGGGTGCCGGGTGAGGCCCTGTCCCCGGCATGTGTGCTGAGCTTGGGTACCAGGTCGACGTGGGAAGGGGGAGGACCTGACTTCTCACGGGGTGCTGTGCTGCATCCAGTGGCATCAGAGCTCGGGGTCCGAGTCTGAGCCTGATTCTCTTTCTGAAACTTTCCGCATGACTAGAGGTCCCGAGGCTGCTGGCAAGGAGCCCTGTCCTTCCTGTTCCTCTGCCCCGCAGGGATCTCGGCCAGCCACCAGGGGGCGCTGCGGAGCTGCCCAGGCCCACCAGAGCCCTGCCTCCAGGATTGAGGTCAAGGGAGAAAGTGGAGCACCCCTCCCTCCTTCAGCCTGTCAGGACTCTACCTGGCTGGCCCTGTGGGTGGGGCAGGCGCGGGAGGAGGGACCGGTGGATCTTCTGCCCTGAGCCTGGGCTTCCTCAGCCACAAATGTGGTGCTTGAGTTTTTCTTCATCATTCCCCCATCTCGTGTCCCTGTGCCGAGGCAGCCCTTTGGGCATGTCCCCTCCCCAGGACATCCGCCCTCCTAGTGTCTGATCAGGAGAACCTCTGGACCCCACAGCAGCCCCGCCAGCATGACCTTGGCCCTAGTGACTGGCCATCTGTGTAACTGTGGCCAGCCCAAGGTGCCAGGGGGTGTTCTCTGGATTGGCACCCCACTTCCTAGGTGTACCCCACTGAGGCAGATCCTGAGTAGAGGAAGGCAGGCTGGTGGGGGGGGTTGGGGGGCCGAGAGTCCCAGACCTTCAGGAGCATCTGAAAACATGGGGTTTGACCTGCGTTCCCAGGGTGACCCTTTCCACTGCTGGTCCTTTGGGAACGCCGTCTGCCGGGGTCGGGATTCCTTTCCGTGAGCAGAGATGGGCGCTCGCCCAGGCTCAGCTGTAGATGGGGCGGGAGAGGGGAGCTCGGTTATCATTCCTCACGCACCCCTGCTGCACACATCTGCGAGCCAGGCGCGGTTCCTGTCTGTCTGGGGCTGGCCGAGGCCTCCCGCACCCACTGGCGGGGAAACTGCTCCAGCCAGGGGAAGCATGTCCTTGGCTGCCCAGCCTCCGGCTCCCACCGCAGCTGGTCTTTCTCTCCGTGGTCACTGGAATTAGTGACCCTTCCCCCCCTGCCCCGGCCTGGGACCCTCCATGGTTCTGAGCCTGTGGGACGTAAGAGTGGGTCTGTCCCAGGACCTCGCTGATGGCAGGCCTAGGGCTCGTCCTCTGCCAGGCAGGCTGGGGGCGCAGGGGGGAGTGGTGTCCCTGCTCTGGTAGCCCCGACACCAGTGACAAGGTGGCTAGGGGAGCAGTGTGGAGGTGCAGAGTGGCCGCCAGGCTGCACCTGGAGCTCGAGGGGCAGAGCCTGGGGGAGGGGAAGGCTTCCTAGGCTCCTGTTTCATCTTCCCTTGGACTCCTGCTTTCTCTCGGAATGGCTCGAGGCAGTTGAGAGGTGGACTGGGAAGGTCGGCCTGGCCGGGTCACAGCAGCTGCTGACCTTTGTGTTGTGCAGCTCAGCTGAGGACGGGCTGCAGGGGAGGCAGTGCGGGGCCGGCGGGCAGCATGCTCCTGGCATCGCAGGCAACACCCTGCCGGCCCCCGTGGCTCAGCTGCGCTGCGGGCTTCAGCACCTCCACCCAAACGTCTGGCCCCTCCCGACACACGTGCGATAAGTCCCCAGCGATGGCCTGGTTTTCTGCCTGTTGAACAGGTGTAATAGCCTTTTTGTGGTCGTTTGGGGGGAACCCCATTTCAACAGAGAGCCTTTCCCTGGCAGAAGTAGCCAGCGAGCTGGACAGGGAGACGCTGCAGAGGCTGAAGCGGGAGTGTGGCGGCTTGCAGACGCTGCTGAGAAACAACCACCAGGTGTTCGAAGGTGAGCGGGTCACCCTCTGTGTGCTTGCTCCTCACACAGGTGGCGCCGCCCTCCTTGCCTGTTGCTGCCAGACTGAACCCTCAGCTCTTCCCAAGTGGTGTGTGGTGGGCACTCTCCACAGCTGCCCTCCCCCAGGGCCTCCTGCTCCCACCCACCCTGTGTCCTGGCCTTGCTGCCGGTGGCCCTGCTCTGTCTCCTACACAGCTCTCCATCTGCCCCACCTGGTCCTGCCTCTGGGTGGCCCCAGGGGCCCACCGGTGCTCCTGTCCCACCGCCTCCTGCACTTGTCATATCCCCACCCAGCTAGACCAAGAGCTCCCTGTAGGCAGTACAGGTCAGTGTCTGGGAGGAAGCCACACCCACCTGGCCCTCACCTGGGGTGGGCAACCAATGGGTCCCAGGGTCTCTGGCCCCCAGGGTGCCATCTGTGGGCTGAGTTCTCCCCAGGTGTGCTCTGTGCTGGAGGCTGCAATGCAGAGTGACAGCCTCTCTGTCCCTGGGACACGGCGGGGGTACTGCATACCATGTGGCGGGTCCTACACAGCGGTGCCTCGGTCAGGGTCTGTGTGAAGAAGGAGGTGACTGGGGCGGGGGACCTTTCCAGAGGTGAGGGAAGGACACAGTTGAAGTTAGCCCAAGGCTACTGGCACATGCCAAGTCCATCCCCAGGGGTGTGTGCACCTGTGTGGAGCCCAAAGATCTTAGCTGCCCACATCCTCAGACGTCCGAGCCCCAGAGTTTGGGCTGATCCCCCCACCCTCACATTCCTGTTGAGCAGGGTGGTGGGGAAGGAGCCCTGGACTAGGCCACACCTCTGGTAGGGTGCATCTCTCCACTCCTTCAGTCTGTGAACTGCCTGGGGTGGAGTCCTGCCCACATGTGCATGGGGGAGATCAGGTGTGCACACTTGCACTGCCCCTCCCCTGTGTGTGCACACCTGCACTGCTCCCTCCCCCATGTGTGCACACTTGCACTGCCCCTCCCCATGTGTGCACACCTGCACTGCCCCTCCCCATGTGTGCACACCTGCACTGCTCCCTCCCCCATGTGTGCACACCTGCACCGCCCCTCCCCCATGTGTGCACACCTGCACTGCCCCTCCCCCGTTGTGTGCACGCCTGCACTGCCCCTCCCCCATGTGTGCACACCTGCACTGCCCCTCCCCCGTTGTGTGCACACCTGCACTGCTCCCTCCCCCGTTGTGTGCACACCTGCACTGCCCCTCCCCCGTGTGTGCACACCTGCACTGCCCCTCCCCCGTTGTGTGCACACCTTCACTGTCCCCTGTGTGTGCACACCTCCACTACCCCCTCCATGTGTGCATACGTGCACTGCCCCTCCCCCGTGTGTGCACACTTGCACTACCCCCTCCCCCATGTGTGCATGGGAGGGCTCAGGTGTGCACACCTGCACTGCCACCTCATTGTGTGTGCACACCTGCCCAGCCCCCCTTGTGTGTGCAAACCTACACTGCCCCCCATGTATGTGTGTGAGAGCTCAGGTGTACACGCCTGCACTGCCCCTTACCCCCCGTGTGTATGCCTGCAGTGCCTTTGGGTGGCCTGGTGACCCTGTGGTGCTAAACTTGGTTTTCATTTAACTTGATTTCACTAGGGTAGTAAATGCAGCTGTTACTGGGGCCTTGTAAGGGAACCAGGGTCTCCATGTTGGGTGGTGCAGGAGGGCAGCCCCAGGCAGTGGGGTGCTGGAAGGAGGTGGCCCTGCTGAGCTGGCGTGGACTGCGGGTCGGCTCTGCGTTTCGCAAGCCCTAGTCTGTGCAGGCTCCCCACAGCCAGGGCCTGCTGTTTGGTTTTTCCAACACATTTTTCTGTTTATTTTCATGAGCTGGTATCTTTTCCATGATGAATATGTGTGAGTCCGACTGCTCTGTGCAATTTAAGGGGGGGGGCGTGTTTATATTTGGAAACGATGCTGAGTCGGAGGCCTGGGGGTGGGGTTCCGAGTAAGCAGTCTACTCGTCATGCGAAAGCTATGCACTGAGCGGAGACTTATATGGGGGGTGTTCTTCTACCCCCGGGCCCGACCCTGTCACGTGCACAAGGGTGAGGGAGCACACCTGGTGCCAGGCCTGCTGGGCCACAGCACAGGGCGCAGCGGGCAGGGTGGGGCCCGCTTGTCCCTGGGCCCCCAAGGCCAGGTGCACATGTGGTCAGCACATGGTCAGGACGCTCTGGCCGGGAGCAGGGAGCAGGAGCTGTGAGTGGTCTGCATGGGGGCGTCTCAGTCACTGTGCTTGCTCATGGCCTTGAAGATGCCAAGGCCTCCCGAGGGGGGGACTGGGCTGGCAACCCAGGGTGAAACGGACCGGAACCAGTACACCTGAGAACTTGGCACTGTCCCCAGAAATGGTCTGTACTGATTTTCTGGAAAGACCTTCAGCCAGCTCCTCAGGACATTTAAGTTAAGGTGGTGTCCGCGGTCAGAAACGGAGGCGGCACAGCCAGGAGCGCACATGAGGCTGCGAAATGTCAGGCCCGCCTCTGCCCCCCAGGCCGCCGTCCGCTGTGGGCAGTGCTCTCCCCAGGCCTCAGGACCCCTGGCTGGGCCCTTCCCCACCTGAGGTCCACAGCTGTGGCCAGGCGCCCACTTAACTGCCTGTGCGGGGCCCGACCTCTGGGGGGCAGGGTCATGCCCAGCTTGGGCCCTGGTGTTACTCATGAGCCGTCCAGGCCATCAGGCCCCTCACCTTTCTGAGGTGCACAGCCGGGAGTCTTGCCTCCCACACAGGCGGGCATGTCATTTCGCGGTGCGCCAGGAGGTGCTGCCGGGGTACAGCAGTGGACACGGGGACGTTTCCTTGACCCAGGCTTTCAGAGGAAGAAAGCTGAGGTCAGCGTCCTGGGGAGGACAGACTGGCACAGGAGGTGCCCCGTGGCCCCGGGAGTCTTGGGTCCCGCGCAGCGCACCCCTGCGGCTCCTCTGGTCCCAGGGTAAAGTGTTCCATGCTGTCCGTCTGGGACCATGCCGTTGCCCTAGCGTGGGCCAGGCAGAGAGCAGAGTCCAGCTGTGACCCACAGTCCAGTTCTCAGACGTCGGAGAGCCAGGTGTATTCAGTACGCCCCTTCATCTCTCCCGAGCCTCCGCCTCTCCATGGGGTGCACGGCTTCCAGGACAGACTTGGTTGCTTTGGCCTCTGTTCACAGGGAGTTGTCGGCTCTCAGGAGGAAACAGCCAAGTAAGTGCAGGCTCTTGGGGGAGTCTCGGCTGTGTAGGGGACCAGGTCAGGAGGCAGCTCAGGGGACACAGCCAGCCCCCTCCCCCTGCCCAGCTCTGAGGTCACCCTCAGCCCTGCTTGCTGCAGTCCCGCCACTGATTACAAAGCTGTTACCACTCACCCTCGTTCACCTTGGGGGCTCTGGAGGTGGGGTCTCCGCAGTCGCCCCTCATTGCTTGCCTGGGAAGGACCTCTGCCTGCTTGCTGGCTTTCTCGCTTGGCTATGTAGAGGTGGTCCTTACGGGCCAGTTCAGCGTGCACGTGGGGTCTGACGTGGACTCGAGTCAGGGCCACGCTGATGGTGTCACACTGGGGCCTGACCTGGTTCCCCACAAGCTTGACCCATTGCTGCCCCAGACACGGGCGTCCACCGTCCTCCCCGTCACCACTTGAGACCCCACCAGGCGCTGGCTGGCCGGGTGTGGCGGGGGCTCTGGGCTCAGGTCGCTGCCCCCCACCGATCCGGGAGTTAAGGGGACCGCACGTCAGCGTCTGTCTGCTTCTCCCTCGCTGCAGTTCGGAATGGGAGGGTGCACATCCGAGACTGGAGGGAAGAGAAGCTTCAGAAGGACGAGCAGCCGGAGGCCAAGCGCAGACTGTTCTCCGAGGCTTTCAAAACCCGCCTCTGCTGGTTCTCCACTCACCACCCCGACGGCTGTGCTCTGCCTGCGGCCCGCTGCCCGTTCGCCCACGGGCCTGAGGAGCTGCGGCCACCCCCCAGCACCAAGAGGAGGAAGCAGCTTCTGTGAGCAGCGCCGTCGGGCTGGTCCTGCTCCAGCCGCTTCCCTCTGCCTGCCCTCGGCCTTCCTGGGGCTCCCCGGACGGGGAAGCTGGGAGCCGAAGGTCCTCCTGCCACCCGACCCGAGCCTGGGCTCGTTCACACAAGGGACTGGTAACGTGTGCGTCACCGCCAGAGCGGGGAGGTTCTGACGTCCTGTCGCTCAGGAGGCGCAGGAAGTGCCTACGCCAGCCTTTTCAGGGCGCCTGGCCCACCTGACCTGGGTGTCTGTGTGTGGCGGGCAGGGTCACCCGGATACAGCCAGTCTCTGCCAGCTCACTGCTCTGGAGGCCCAGCAGCCGGGGTGAGCCTCCCTCCTCCCTGCCCTTCTCCACTGCAGCCTCCCCCAAGTGCTGACCCAGCTTTGTCTCTGGGGAGAAGTCCTGATGTCTCCATTTCAAATTATTTATACACACAAATCACATCAACCAGACACTGTCGTGGCCCTTGAGTTCCCGTGGACAGTGTCCCAGCCACCTTTCTGGGTGCAGGTGTTCTCGTTCTCCAGTGCTGAGGGTCAGCTCGTGCCTTCTCCCAGAGGCCTCAGTGCGGTGCAGTGTTGGCCCTGCCCCTCTGCCCCTCTGCCCCTCCCAAAGGCCCTCGCCCCTTGGGCATTGTGTGCGGGCTGCCGAGTCGCAGCAGTGCTTCCCGCTTATGGGTGAGCTTGGCCGGGTGGTTGATGCTGTGCCTGTCCCAGAGCTCCCCAGGCACAGCCAGCCTGAGCGCCCCCTGTGGCCGGATGGTTGATGCTGTGCCTGTCCCAGAGCTCCCCAGGCACACCCAGCCTGAGCGCCTCCTGTGGCCGGATGGTTGATGCTGTGCCTGTCCCAGAGCTCCCCAGACACACCCAGCCTGAGCGCCTCCTGTGGCCAGATGGTTGATGCTGTGCCTGTCCCAGAGCTCCCCAGACACACCCAGCCTGAGCGCCTCCTGTGGCCAGATGGTTGATGCTGTGCCTGTCCCAGAGCTCCCCAGACACACCCAGCCTGAGCGCCTCCTGTGGCCGGATGGTTGATGCTGGGCCTGTCCCAGAGCTCCCAGGCACAGCCAGCCTGAGCGCCTCCTGTGGACGGGGTCTCATGAGCTCCCACGGAGGCTGTGAGGGAACTAGGGCAGTGTTGTTTTTCAGCCGGAAGGTTACCGTTTTGTTGTCTTCTGATCTTTGTTTTTCTTTTTTCTCCCTTAACTGATTTGAGAGAGAAACATCTATTTGTTGTTCCATTTATTTGTGCATTTATTGGTTGCTTCTTGTACGTGCCCTGACGCGATGGACCTGTAGCCGTGGTGTGTCCAGACGATGCTCTAACTGTGGAGCCCCCCCGAGGGCCCCTCCTCTGTTGTTTCTGATGAGAAGTCAGTCATCACTTCATTGTACCTCTGTGCAGCGCGTGCTGTGCTTTTCCTCTGGCTGATTGCGAGGATTGTTCTTGTTAGAATTCGGCAGTTTTGTGTCATGCGCATAAGCTGTGGTTTTCTTTCTACTTGGGGGGTTTACTGAACCCTGTAAATCCCCGACTTACTGTTTTTGATCTAATTTGGAAAAAAATATCAACCAATATTCTATAAATATTTTTTCCTGCCTTATCTTCTCCTCCTAAACTCCCACTTTTATGTGTGTGAGCTCACGGGACACATCCCACACGTCATCGGGGCTTTTATCTTGTAACCTTTTTCCCCGTGTACCTAGGGTTGGATGATTTGTAACTTGACTTGTATCCGAGTTCATCAGTCCTTTCTTCTATTGCATCTAATCTGTTATTCAATGATATATATTTTTAATTTCAGTCATTATAGTTTTCATTTTTAAGGTTTCAATTGGTTATTTTGTTTTTTCTTTACAAATAACTTCTGAAATGTTCTCTCTCTTCAGCCATTGTCCCTCAGGTTTCAATTCCTTCTCTGCCAGTTCCAGCGTCTGGGCCGTCTTTGAGTCTGTTTCTGTTGACTGTTTATTCTCTTGACTGTGTCACATTTTCTTGTTTCTTCACATGACTGGGTTCTGCTGCTGCTGTTGACTAGTGTTCGTGTAAGCTGGACATTGTGGGCGGTGCGTGTGCAGGTTTGTCTGTCTCTTCCTCTGCAGGGAGCAGGGTCTCGGCTAGGGCTCGTTTGCAGTGAGCACTGGTTTGGTGGAGGCTCAGCATGAGGCACTGCTCAGGCAGATCCCCTCCAGTTCCTTACCCCATGTCCCTGCAGTCCTGGCCCAGTCCTTCGGGGGCTTTTCTGGGTTCTGGGGAAGCCAAGGTGCCTCCTCAGCCCCCACCTCGGCAGGACTTGAATTCCACACTCTGCCGCCCCTGGGGCTGCAGGCTCTGCTCAGCTACGCTCTGGCTCGTCTTCAGCCCTCCGGCCCTTTGCCGCTCCTGGGCCCTTCAGGCCCTTCAGGGGTCAGCTGCCAAACACCTGGCCTGCGGTCCTGGCGAGGAGGGGTCAGAGGAGGTGGCACTCCAGGGTCTGTATGTAAACGCATTCATGCTCCACTGTTCTGTGATCGCTGCTGGCCCCTGGCCACCGGCACTGTGGCCGTTGCCACTGAGGAACTGGTTGCTCTTCTGTGACTGTCATTCAGGTTCGAGCAGCCACACGTGCCAGTGACTGACATCGCACAGAGCTCCAGGCCTTTGCTCAGGGTTACCCTCGCCCGGAGTTTGTTGGAAATGCAGAATTCCTAGGCCCACCAGGACCTGCCAGTCACCATCGCTGATGTGAGACCCAGCAGGCTGTCTTAGCTCACTCTGCAGGCGGGGGATGGCGGCTGAGTTTGAGGGACAGCCGCTCCCAGGCTCCCTGCACCTCCTCAGCCTTTTCAGAGGGTGTTTCCTCTCCTTGGCTGAACTGTTGGAGGGCTCGGGACCAGGCCTGAGGATCCCACTCAGAGGAGCAGCCAGGAGCTCAGCCTCGCTCCAGGGGGATCTGAACGAGAAGTGGGAGTGCAGGATGTCCCGAGTGGAAAGGCAGTGAGGCCACGTACCCCCGCGGCCAGGAGCAGAGAATGCTGCCCAGGGGACCTGCCGTTTCTGCTCGCAGACTGGCCCTGGGCTGGAGGGTAGGGGTTTGCTGTGTTTCTCTAGTCCTGGTTCCTTGGTTCCCTTGCCTGTGAGACGGTGGGTGGGGACCCCCAAGGCTTTCTCTGTGGCCCTGGGGAGGCTGCGGGGCGGTGGGCGGGCTGAGTCAGGGAGGAGGGGCAGGAAGCCGGGCTGCTGAGCGGTCAGCTCACCGCCCCAGAGGAGCGCGTCCTCATCGGCCAGCCGTGCTGGTGAGAAACCACCTCGAGGGCCGCTCTGGGGCTCGGCCCAGGGCTGTGGCTCCGGGGTGCCCGGGCCTGGGGGAGGAGAGGCTCCCCTCTGTCCGCTGCTTTACACGGAGTTGGGGCTGAGGGGGCCTGGGCCAGGAGAGGCTCCCTGCTCTGTCTGCTGCTTTACATGGAGTTGGGGCTGAGGGTGTCCAGGGGCCTCAGACGGAGGCCTGGAGCCCGGAGGGTGTCACACAGCTCCCGATGGGCCGTCCCCTGCTGGACTGCGAGCACCCAGATGCAGGGAGACTTCCAGTGGGGGTGGGGCCCGAAAGGAATTTCCCCTCAGCCCCCAGTGCCCCAGGGAAGGACAGGGACAGCACTCCTTCCTCCCAGCCAAGCAGAGCCCAGCCCTGCCCAGGGGCCGGGAGCCATGACTGCAGCCAGCGCACGTTGGCCAGGCCCTGCTCATGCGCAGTGCCGACTTACCCTGACTTCACCTCTGGTCCTGGGCTCCCCACGGTCCTGGGTGCCCTCTGCCCAGGGCTGCGTGTGCACTTCCTCCGCGGGGTCGCCTCCCCCGTGCTGCCGGCCAGTGGGCTCCCCAGGCTCCGGCAGGGGCCAGGTTTGGCGCGCTGGGAGCTATTTCTTGGCAGGAATAAAACCACAGCTCAGCTCCCTCGTGCTCCAATGAAAATGCTCCTGGTTGGCCAGGCGGCTCCCTGCAGCCGGGCGGGGCCTCTAAGCCCCTCGAGCAGCCTGGCTGCCTTTCCTCAGGCCGCGGGGGCCTCCCTCGGAGCCCACCTGGCACAGCCAGCCCCGGGCTTACGGGCCTCCAGGGCCTGTGCCCATGCTTCCCAGGATCCTTCCCAAGGCCCATGCCCGTGTCCCCCGCATTGCCCCATGGGGTCTGTGGAGCCTGCTTTCCCAGGAGCACCACCTGCCCTTCCTCCACACGGCTCAGCCAAGGGGCCGTGTTCGTGGGCTGAGAGCCCCTGACCCAGGCCAGCCACAGTTCCCCTGGAGGACAAGGCTGCCCGCGTGGGACTCATGGAGCCCAGGTCACGCTGCAGGATTGGCTCTGCGTGTCCCTATGGAGAGGACAGGAGACACCGGGAGGGGCCTGGTCTGGGAGGGCCTGAGCGCCCGTGTCCCTATGGAGAGGACAGGAGACACCGGGAGGGGCCTGGTCTGGGAGGTCCTGAGCGCCCGTGTCCCCATGGAGGGGACAGGACACACCGGGAGGGGCCTGGTCTGGGAGGGCCTGGGCGCCCGGCACATTCCCATCTGGCTCGATGACCCTGCCCTCACCTGGGTGTGGTTTTTTGAATGAAGCTGGAACTGGTTTCTGTTACTTGCATCCAAAAAGAGTTTATTCTCGGGTGTCTGGGGCCCCCTGCCCTGCCCTGCCCACTGCACCCCCAAACTGCAGGCAGGGCTCTGCGGGCCTAGGGACGAGCCGAGTGTCTGTGGTTGGCACATCTCCTTCACCCCCTTCCACACTGTCCCCAGTGACAGGTCCACCAGGAGGCAGAACTGGGAACCCCAGAAGCCCGTACCTCATGCCCCTTGGAGCTGGAGGCATGGACTCGAACCCCAGTCTCTAGCTCAAGTCTGCTGTGTCTGTGGGGCCGAGGCAGCCCCTGGGCCAGTGTTCGGCCGTGAGGCAGGAGGTGACTTCCAGTGGTGCTGATACTAGCAAGGGTGGGCGCGGAGCCCCTTCCCCAGTGGCTGGCTGCAGAGGCAAGGCCTCTAGTGACCCCAAGGGCCAGTCCGAGTGACCTCTGCAGGCAGGTGCTCAGGAAGCCCAGTGCAACTGGAGGGGAGCCTGTCCCTCAGGCCTCGTGGTCGTGGAGGGCGTCACCCTCGCCCTGGAGGGGAGCCTGTCCCTCAGGCCTTGTGGTCCTGGAGGGCGTCACCCTGGCCCTGGAGGGGAGCCTGTCCCTCAGGCCTCGTGGTCGTGGAGGGCGTGACCCTGGCCCTGGAGGCGCCCACGACGTAGTCCCCTTTGGCCACAGGTCCTGCACTTGCTCTGTTAGACTTGGGGCTGGTGCCTTCCCCTCCCGAGCCTCGGTTTGCTGACCTGTGAAGTGGGGAGTAGCCCCCTTCCAAGATGGGGACGAGTTCTTGGGCCCAAGGTCTCCTTGAGGCCCCTCCCCCACTGTGCTGGCGGCCTAGCTGCTGGTGGGACCTGGAGGGCCCAGCCCAGGTAATCAAAACTCCTCAAATAACCAAAGAAACAAAGAGACTCTGTGGCTGACTCCAGCCCTCAGCACACAGGTTTCCTCCAGGGTCCTGAGGACCCTCCGGGGGAAGGAGCTCGAGAGGCAGAGAGGGCACCTGCCGGCCCAGCCTGCTCCTCCTCGGGCGGCCCCGGCGTGCCTCTGCAGGCCGGACAGTGAGGGCCAGCTGGACGTGACCCCGACCCGCAGCGCGGGGATGGCCTTTGCGCCCAGCCTGTGAGGCAGGACAGGCGGCCTAGGTCCCTGCTGCCCGAGGGCCTGGGGCGGGCTTCTGGCCACGTGATATACTCAAGGTGCTGGAGACGGGGCGTGTGTGGGCCCCCAGGTGGACCCCCGGAGGCTGTGCTTTGGTTGGGGCGGGAGCCCCCCAGGGGAAGCACTGACTGGGCCTGTTTCCCTTTGAAGGGCTCCCGGGAGGAGCTGGCACCCGGCTGCTGGGAAGAGAGTGGCCACCGAGGGCTCCGGCAGGCTCAGGGGTTCCTCTGCCGGTGGGTCTGCCACTTCACAGTGAACACAGGCTCGTGTCTGATGGGGCAGAGCCGGGCCTGCCCTGCCCACACTCCCCGTGCACGGCCGGCATCCTCTAGGGTGCCGTCTGCCCCTCCGGACACTGACCTGGGGGCCTGGTGCCATCAGCCTGCACTGTCGTGGGGACGAGCGCCCCTCAGCGGGAGGGCCGTTGGCCCGGCTGACCCCTGGGGGTGGCCGAACACCAAGTCTCAGAAGAAGATGACATCTTCATGACTTGGGGCAAAGACTTCTCCACCAGGACCGCAAGGCCCAACCTGAAGGACAGCGCTGTAGACAATGGTGACCGTGGGCCGGCGCGGAGACCTGGAGGGGAGCTGGGCCGGCACACAGCTGAGTCCAGAGCAGGGGACCGCATGTCGTCCACGCCTGGCTCCACTGCACCTGCGGCCGGCGGGTTTGGTGGTGACCAGTGCTGACGTGTGGGGTGGGTGGGTGCACCTGTGGCGCATCATCTCCCCCCCCATCTCCACCCACCGCCCCTCTGCCCTCCAGCAGGGATGCCCCTTTTGCTGGGTGCTGGGTTGTCTGGGGCGGGGGTCCCTGGTGGCATCTGCAGCAGTGTGGCTGGCAGTCCCCTGCCCCACAGGAGGCCTGCACCCCTCCAGCTGATCCTGACACTGAGCAGGGTTGGGGCCAGCGTCTTCCCGATGCTGCTGCTGTCCCATTCATCACGGGGGAGGAAGGGGGTGCTTGAGAACAGCCCCTGAAGGTGCGCGTGCTGGGTGGTCTGGAAACTTA